TTCCTGGAATTATTCTTCTCTTTGATTTCGAAAAAGCGTTTGATACGGTTAGTTGGAATTTTATGCAAAAAACACTTGAAGCTTTCAATTTTGGCATATGTATTCAACAATGGATTAAGGTATTTTATTCAAATATTGAGTCTTGTATATCCCAGAATGAACATTTATCTCCTTTTTTTCGCCTAGGAAGAGGATGCCGTCAAGGGGACCCTCTATCACCGTACCTACTTCTTTTATGTGCAGAAGTATTGGGCATTTTAATCAGAGAAAATAAACATATTAAAGGTATAAAAGTCGGAAAAATTAATCTCTTAATTTGCTGACGACACTGCAATTCTTTTAAATGGGAGTGAACAATCATTAAGAGAAACCTTAAAAATTTTAGACATTTTTTACTCTGTATCCGGATTGAAAGCAAATATTGACAAAACAAAAGCTATATGGATTGGTTCTAAAAGACACTGTAAAAACAAACTTTGTAAAGATAAAAAATTATTTGGGAAAATGGAAATTTTAAACTTCTTGGCATTATATTTAGTACTTCGATGAGTGGAATAATTGAGATAAACTACATTGAAAGTATTAGAAATACAGTAAAACTTTTGAATATGTGGTCATGGCACCCTTTGACTTTATTAGGAAGAATTTGTTTGATAAAATCGCTAATTTTACAAAAATTCATCCATCTTTTACAATCACTACCGAGTCCTTCCGAACGACTGTTTCAGGAAATAGAATCACTATTCTTTAAATTCATTTGGAAACAGAAACCAGACAAAATAAAAAGAGACATTTTAAGACAGGATTATGATATAGGGGGGTTGAGAGTTCCAGATATTAGGATTTTTAATTCATCTCTTAAAATTTCGTGGATAAAAAGACTGTGGTTAAACTCAAACAAATATCTATATCTAACTAACCAATATTCAAATTTGAACAAACTATTATTTGCAAGTGGCCCTTACTATCTTTCTACTTTAAAAGTAGAGAAACCATTTTGGAAAGATGTATTTCTCTGCTACAGTGCTTACTGCAATAAAATAATTCAAACTGAAATTAATGAAAATGATACCATTCCTATATGGTTTTTAAACAAAAACGATATTTTTATTCGGGACTGGTTTAATAAGGGACTGTTATTTTTTCAGACTTACTTGATGCTACTAGTAAATACTATGCCTTTATAACTCTAAAACAGATATATAGACTCAAATCAGGGACTTAGAAAAATTAAAACATAACCATAAGTTATTTAAAAAAACTTGAAGAGAACAACATTTTTGGACCAAAACAATCAATATTCTATGTGCACATGTTTAACAAGACAGGTAGTCGTCATGCTTACGACATATTGAATAAAAACATAAAAATTATTTGTAAGAATGAAGTAGTCTGGGAATTAAAATTCCCAAACAGACTTTTCAATTGGAAGATTATTTACAACAATTTTAGGCTTCATCTCCAGAACCCAATAACACCTTTTGTGGATATCCATTTAATTTGTAAAAAATAGTTATCTTCCGTTTAAGTTAAGTTAAAGGTACGTAACCCTTTTTCATTACCGTTGTCGTCAAACTTAAGTTTCCACGGGAGACAGTATTTTTTATTTATCAAGTTCCTACGGTAGATCGTTAGGGACATGATTAATTGTTATGATTTAGTTTTTGTAGTTTTTCTTTACAGATTTGAGATATTTGATTCCTGTATTATCATTAATATTCAAATTTGAAAATATTCTTCTATATTTGAGATTTTATCAGATTTGTTGACTTAATTATCAATTTTATTCACTGCATACTACCACATTACTATCACAAATAGTACATCAAACATTTGATGTTATATGTGTAATCAATATTCAATTTTTATTATGTTAGAAGTTGGTATTGATTTCATGATTTTGAATAGAAATGCTCAGCATAATTAGCATTTCATGTGACATTAGAGGATCGTATCAGAGTGAATTGAAGTAATGCTTTTCGGGCAATGATTTGAGGAATTCGTATGTTATATTCATTTGTTGTGAATAGTTATATTGAAAACTAAGCCAAGGAAGAATTTCAAAAATGCGCAATTGGAATTATAATATCACGGATATGATATTTCCAATGCTGTACCTTTGTATGATTCCAAATGCAATCGCTTCAAACACAACTTGCAGTGATCTCGTGTACATGAAAATTAAATACAATGCCACATTAATATATGGATACTCTGGTTTTTCGTCTTCTATAGCATCTGTACGCAAATGTTTAGAACTCTGCAGAGACGATGTTTTATGTAAATCAGTTGGTATTGACACCAGTAAAATGGATTGTTATTTATATGATGGTAGAGTTTATGCTGGATTACCAGGAACAGTCAATACAGATATGATATATTACTGGCAGCTAGAAGGTTAGTGATCATACACGAATTTATATATATTAAAGTTTAACATGAAACAAATATAATTCAATACTTGTATTATTTCAATTGAATGTCCTATACATCTTGGATACAGTGAAGATTCTACCAGTAAAATATATAGTAAATATAATTCAATACTTATATTATTTCAGTTGAATGTCCTGTACATCTTGGAAACAGTGAAGATTCTACCAGTAAAATATATAGTAAATATAATTCAATAGTTGTATTATTTCAGTTGAATGTCCTGTACATCTTGGAAACAGTGAAGATCCTACCAGTAATAAATATAGTAAATATAATTCAATACTTGTTTTATTTCAGCTGAATGTCCTATACATCGTGGATACAGTCAAGATCCTATTAGCAAAATATGCAGTAAATTTTACTCCGACATTGTAAACTGGACTCATGCTCAGGAAATATGCGAGATGGACGGAGGGCATTTATTTGTAGCGGATACAACGGAGAAGATAGCTATCCTTCGTAAGTGTTCTATAAGAAGATTTGCTACATACTGTTCCTCTAACAGTCACGTCAGTCAAGCAGTTACAAACCCAACACATCATGCACATTGAGGTAAAATCTGACCCCCACATCAAAGTTAAAATTTCTTGATATAAAACCAACTATAAATCTGAAATGCTTACTAATAATTCATCAACAGGTGATGTTTAAGGTGAAAGATATGCACTAATAAAGCACAGAAGAATATGATATAAAATCAATTATCCAGGCTTGTAATTCGCAATATATAAAATAATTCTTAAACGATTACATAAGTATTTTAAATCTCGCGGTCTCCATTTTTACTATTCTGGAAAATAGTGATTATGAGAACTTAATTTTTATTAAAACAATTGAACAAATCATCGTTAACTACACATATTTCCGACCGGAAGACGCGGTCTCATTATTGTGATCTTGTTAACTTTGCTATAATATGAGAGCACAGCTCTCTCGACGGCCGTCGAGAGCGAAGCTCTCTATATTGGTAACATATACATATACATCAATTCGTTTCAGAAAATTTATGCCCCACGGATAGTCAAAAAAAAGTGAGAAAAAAGATGGCGGAACATGGGGGCCACCATGTTTGTTGACAACTAGATCGCAGTCAATCGGGGTAGTTTCGGAGTGAATGTTCTGGAATTCTTTCAATAAATTACGACAATTGTTTCAAACACAGAAAGGGATTTTTTGTATCAACTTAACAACCCTTACGTTTTATTTTTATTTTTCCTGGATATTCTATGCGTCATAAGGAATAAAATGACAGCTTTGACCTAATTTCCCAAGACTTTCTCCAGAGCCTAAATACAATGATGGCGGCTTTGTTGACATCATACGTCAAGTTAAAATGACGTCATCGTTATAGATGAATTGCTTTCACACCTTTAAGAAATTTCTCTAGATACCTTATAAAAGATTGTCTACAGACCTTATATTCATAGAAGATTACCTTCACACATATGATTAGAAGACAAAGTAGTTTGCATTACATACAGATAAGGTTGAATTTCTTTTACTTAATTATTATTAATTATTGTTATTTTATCAGTAACCTGCGCTCTCATTCAAGGCCATGCCTTCATTCATATTATGATAATAATCCATAATTTACAAGTAGGCCTAACAACCGAAGAAGTAGGACCTACACAAACAAAGTTAATTTCTATATTTCTGATCGAAAATTCGTCCCGATTTGTAAACAAAACCTTCTACGCATGTCCGTAGTCTTGGAATTCCTTTCCCAGACACTAAGAAACCGTTCACGAGAAAACACCGGCCTATTATCAATTATAATAGGAAACTTTAAATTTGATGTTTTAAACAATTCCTTATTGGCCAGGTAAATTTAAATAAACTGTATAAAGGGTTTAGTTATAGTTTCATAATTAGCGTAATTCTTCACGTTGAAAATTAACCGGTCAATCCTGTAACTCTAAAGGCTATTCTTTTATGCTCAGTCAGGTAAGAACTTTGAAATGATGGTCGTAAAAGATCTTTTACATTTTTGCATTTTAGGCCACTGCCACATACTACATCAATGTTTTAGGGATCAGATTTCGAAAAATGGGTAGGGATAAAATACTAACTAATAAACAACAGAATTTCAAATCCAGTTGAAAAAATAAAAACTTTAAGAATTATGCTAAAAAAAAGTACCCGCTCGACTGCTTGAAGGCTAACTTGCATTTGGGATTGATAGTATTATACCAGGTATTTTGGCTTGGTATAATTCGTTGCAACGGTTTTGCAACTTTTACAAAAAATATACATTCTGCGCTCATCATTTTATTCGTTTTGCTTGTTGCAGGATTATGAGAAACGGTCGACAGTTTATAGTGGATTTGGTGGCAGTGTTGTAATTCCCGTTTTCATTATTCATTTTTTTCAAATTACGGACAGTAGCTTATAAAACAAATTCTTTTTATCTACTCAGGGGCGCAATACTTAATTGGAGCAACAGATATTTTACAAGAAGATGATTGGAATTGGTTGAACGGTGTTCCTGTTGATGAAAATCTATTTGCATCTACACAGCCATCTAATACAAGGGATGATGAGCATTGCTTAGCAAAGTATAGATCTGGTTTAAACGACGTTCCTTGTCATGCAGGTTTTAAATTCATTTGTGAAGTTCCTACAAATATAGCTTTCAACCAATAACCAAATATTTATTTTACATGCTGTTGCTGTTTTTTGCTGTTGAAAATTTACTTCATACGATATTGTATTTAGATTTATTATCAAGGCTTAACTGATCCATTGATCGCTCTATTGATACTTACCTGATCTTTTGTTCGTGTTATTGAGACTTACGAGATCTATTGGTCGCACAATTGAGGCTCATTTAATCTATTGAGTGCTTACCAGATCAACTGTTAGTCCTTGAGGCTATCCGGATCTATTGCTCGTTCTATTGAGGCTACCTGGTCTATTGCTCGAACTCCTGAGTCCTACCTGATCCACGCTTCATTCTATTGAGGCTAACTTGATTCATTGTTCGTCTTATTGATGGTCTATTAAAAGTCCTGATTTGTCTGATCCATTACTCGTACTATTGAGTCATACCTGATATATGGTTCGTTTTACTGAGGTAAACCTGATCTCTATAGATCTAAGGTTCGTTCGATTGAGGCTTACCTGATTTATTGCTCGTTCTATTGATACTTACCTAATTTGTGCTAGTTCTATTGAAGTTTACCTCTGGTTCGTTCTATTGAGTCTTACCTAGTATTTTATTCTACTCATCACTTACTCATGCCAAACTATTGATCTAGCCCTTACCTTCACCTGTTTATCTTCGTAAGATATTCCAGTTCCCTATATTAGCCTTAATCGACCAGGGTCGCTGTGGGGCCATGCAGATTGCTGAAACCCCGATGAACAAAACCTCCAACAAACATATTTTATTTCATCCATACAATTAAATTTACTGAACCCTATCTGCTCTTTTACAACCTTGATACAGTTGAGAGAACTTCATTTAGTGTAAATAGTCTGTCTTTTTATAGTCTTTTTCCCTAATTTTTATTGTATCGTATTTTAACTATTTTTGAATGGTAATGGATTTATATAAGCTTTTAAAACTTATTTCCAAAACCATATGTTTATCTATATGTATATTGTAATATTTGTAATTCTTGAATAAATATTGTTTTAAAAAAAAAGATTTATTATCTTTAGAATGTAGGAAAGTGCATTTCCATTTCATTTCCTTCCAGTTGCATCTCTTGTCGACTGACGTGAAATGTATAGATAGCTTACCACTTACCACAAGGAAATATACGCCCATTGACAACTTTGATTTTGAATAAAAATATTTGACAGTACAGTAACAATCTCTATTATGAATAAATTCGGCTTCAGTCATATACTTCTTTTGGGTGATACTGATCAATATTACGAAGTTTCGTAAAAAGATCTGTCAAGAATTGCGCCTACTATAGTGTTTCCGAGCAATTGTAAGCGCCAATATACGACCCCTTTTCATGTGGGTGAATACAAAGAATCGTGAAATTTAATCTATTTACCGTGATCAGAAGCAGATATCGAAAATATGCCAGTTGCCATATCAATGATACAGCTAAAAAAATAATAAAAAGTGAAAATTGTAAAAATTGATTTGGATCTTAGCATGCTACATATCATGGAAAATATGGAATGGAATCTAATCAATGAAGTGATATATCTGTCAAACATAAGATTCTTCTAGTAGCGTGTGAAGAAAACTTAAAAGAATCACCTGTTGATGAATTTTTAGAATAGAATTAGAAATAGAAGAATGATGTTGTTGTCTAAACCTCTTGACATTAATCCTTCCCGGAATTCCCGTAGAAACAAGTTGCAAAAGTTGTGCAATTTTATTGTTTTGTTTTTTCAAGCACAAAAGGAAACAAATGAGAAATCGTCAATAATGAAACAAGGTGCGGTCAGTTGATCATTCAATGAGCCAGACTTACTAATTGTACGACTGGGAAAATTTGATGGTGGACAATTGATCTTTGAGAAGAAAGTGAGGCAGCTATCGTTTATATCGATTACAAATGTCGAAACAATAGGTTAAGCCGTTGAAAATTTCCAATTTAACTGAATTGTAGGGTTATACCATTGACATTCAAAACCGAAAAGTTTGACCATAAAGTGTTTTACTGGTTTTTGTCATTAGAATTGAAATTAAATAAATGGAGTTTTACGTCTTACTTATCGGCACCATGTGCGCTAATGAAGACGGGCAACGCCATGCAGTGTGCAATGAGGAAAATGTTGCCAGGACAGTGGGATAAGCCCACTCTTTTTCGATTTCCAACTGTCGAGGGATCTTTAACGTGCACAGCCTGTACCGAACGATTAGACGCTTTTTCCATGTCAGCCCCTCTTACCTGCATCACTGACAAGGGGAAATCGGGTTGAAAAATCCGATAGTATTATCTCACCTATGCCGGGATTGAACCCCGGACCCTTAAGTTAGCGAGCGAGCGTCTACCTCACTGAGCCACCGCTGCTCCCTTAGCCATTGGAAGGTAGAATTTACCATCATTATCTAATATATAATACAACTTGTAATGCAAAAAAAAAAACGATAGTGTTCATTGGACACCACAATACAATCATATTGTTTTTACCCCATACCATTCTCGGGAAAGAGAAGTTTTTTGGCAAAGTTCTGCAACTCGTATCTAAAGCCGTGTAATTCATTTGCCATCTGTTTAAATGTTAAATTTCAAAATTCAACCTTCTATAACTTTTTCCAGAAATTTCGTTGAAACTTTTCCAGTATGTAACATGAAAGCCTGGCCAACGCTTAGTTTCTGAACAAAATTTCAATATATCATGAAAATCTTGAACTAGCCAAACTGAAAGTAGACCACAACATTTTATCAACACCTGCTTGACTGTTCATGCACACAAACGACTATTTTTAGAATTATCCTTCCGCATGAAAATCTCTCGTCATTTCAAAAAATCTGAAAGAAAATGCAATTTCAAATTCCAAATCTAGACTAAAAATTAGTCAAATAGGCGTATAAAATCCCTTAAACGGAGGAGAAAGAGTATTTTAAACATAGCACGGACTACATTTATCATTAGCATAAAATTAATTTCAGGAGTGGGTCCGTATGTTTCTTACATACTATTTGTATTTTTGTTCTTATCTTGTATTAAAATTTAATGACATAATCGATAAGCTTCGGCTTAATTAGTTAACATACATAATTTTGAGGCGCTTAAAATAAAATCTTGTTATGATGCGACGAAATAATCTTATAATAAATCTAAAATGTTACAGTATCCATTTAATATTTTGAAATCAAATACTATATAGTGTAATATACTGAGAACAGCTGTCATATTTTCAAATTCTTTCATCTAATTATAGAAACTAGTCAATATGATTGAAACATGTTGACAATATTAAAAGGGCGGATGAAAGAATAGGGGGTAGTAGAGTTACATTAGATAGTGTGCAGTAAATGTAATTGTCAGTTGCTGTTGGTATACTGTAAATGTAATTGTCAGTTGCTGTTGAAAGTGTAGTAAATGTAATTGTCTGTTGCTGTTGAAGGTTTAATGTAAATGTTATAATAACCAGTTGCCGTTGGTATACTGTAAATGTAATTGTCAGTTGCTGTTGGTATACTGTAAATGTAATTGTCAGTTGCTGTTGAAAGTGTAGTAAATGTAATTGTCTGTTGCTGTTGAAGGTTTAATGTAAATGTTATAATAACCAGTTGCCGTACTGTAAATGTAATTGTCAGTTGCTGTTGGTATACTGTAAATGTAATTGTCAGTTGCTGTTGAAAGTGTAGTAAATGTAATTGTCTGTTGCTGTTGAAGGTTTAATGTAAATGTTATAATAACCAGTTGCCGTTGGTATACTGTAAATGTAATTGCCTGTTGCCGTTGAGGTGGCAGTAAATGTTCTTGCATTTTGCTATTGAGTGTGCAGTAAATGTAATTCTGTTGCAGTTTGGGTGTCGTTATTGTTGAGAATGTAATTGTTTTTTTTTGTTAAATGAGAAATTGTCTGTTGGTTTTTGGTCGCCTGTTTTAACAAATAAAATCCTAGGTCCGTCTGTTTCACAATTCGCTCTGAAATTTGTTGAAATACAAGGGTCCGCCTGTCCAACCATGCAAAGTATTTTATAATAACGACGCGGTTTGTTCGAGATAAATTCATAGTTGCATTGTACACTGTAAGTAAGTTTGTATTTTGATATTAAGATAAGGCAATTTTATAGCCTAAGGGCAATGTATAAAATAATTTTTAATAGGCATCTAGTGACAGACAAATATAGTGGCTTATAATCACCATTTCACACAATGTTTTTACCAGATTTCACTATCTTATGAAGAAACCATTGTTATTGTCTACTTTTGATAGCTACTAACGAGTTAATCTTGTAACGTTTTGTTAGTAGGTGTGTTGTGGAAACTACTACTATTACTTAAAACAATACTTGACATATATCTTTAATTAAGATATTTCTATCAGATGTTTTGAAAGATACAACCAACGAACATTGTACGATATTCATTTGAGAATTTGCGTGAATTTGAAAAATGGCTTTGATTATGATCAAAGAACTCCAGTATCACCCCATACGCTCACTTGGAAATGTGGACGTATATTGCCGTCACCCCTGTCTATCTTATTATCCGATCTTGATGAAACTTGGTATGCATGTATATATTGATGAGTTCTCGGTTAAGTTCAAAATTTGTAATAATCGAACGAATGGTTTTGGAGTTATTGCCCTTGACTTTGAAAAAACACGTCAAATTTGTCTTGTATGCGCGATAGAGGCTAAAGTTTTTATCCTATCTTCATGAAACGCGGTATGCACGTATGTATTGATGGGATCTCGGTCAATTTCAAAATTAGTAATAATCGGATGAACTGTTTTTGAATTATTGTCCTTGACATAGTAAAAACGCGTCAAATTTGGCTTGTAGGCACGATAGAGACTACAGTTTTTATCCAACCTAGATGAAACTAGGTATTCATGTATACGTTGATGAGATCTCGGTCAAGTTAGAATTGGTAAAAGTGGATGAACCGTTTCAAAGTTATTGCCCTTGTTTGTACAGCGATGAGACATTGTTTATGTTTGAATTTGATGATAATTTTATGAACTGTTTCAGGTTTTTGCCCTGACTTAAAAATGAATTTAAGATTATTTGAAAATTCATTATTAAGCCACTAAATATTTTGTTGTCACTTCTGACAGCTGTTATTGGGCGTATGTTACATTGGTAAGCTATCTTTCTTTTATGGAAGAAAAGCACTGTGCAAATTTCTCCGATTTTTTTTTCTTTAGGTTAATTCTTATGTTAAAGCCTGAAAATGTCTTCGCTTCAAAAAATATATTGGTAAAATTATTATTAGAGTTGTTGCGCTGGGTTGGGGTTTAGACTCTTTATTATAGATAAAGGTTAATCTCGGGGGATTATACCTGAAGTCTTCTTGATAATGGTGTCTGTAAAATACAAACTATATGAATTAAAATCCAAAAGTAACTCGCAAATAAATCACGAAACAGCTAGGCTACTTGTAATTGACCAATACAATGATAGTTACCTATGTGGGATAAAAGTACGTGTAGTTTAATATTGTATTTACCAGCTTACTTGTCGAATATGTTTGTTTTGTGTTAATTGAGTACACCGTAAACGAAATGTTTTGCTAGAATAGTTCGTTGTTTAACGGTTCATTAATCATATTCTATTAAATATGTAATTGTCTTTATGATGATTATGTTATATTGTTAGTGTAGAAACATAACACGCTACTATAGAATTATATCGTCTTACAGATCAAATGAAAAAAATCAACGGGACATTGTAATGGACGAAAACCAACAGAGCAGTTGAAGGTAAGAACTGACTGATGCCAGTATATTTTGGCCTAATATGTTTCATTGGTGGCAGTTGTGGATATGACCTATGTTTGTCTTCGCTATGCAACATGTGGAGTGCAGATCTTTCCAGCACTACAAATATTACATACAGCACTTATTTCCAATGCTTAAATTTACATGAGGAACAAAATGATGAACTTATTGTCATAAACATAATACGAAATGGAATCCATTTTCGATATCGATCCACATTCAGGTTTGAGTTCCCTTAACAGTTCGTCATACTTGCATAAAAGAATGTGCATATATACAATCTTTGGTTGAACTCTTATATGCTAAAATGTGGCCAAATGTGGAATAGTAAAGTAGTGGCCCTCTGAAAATAGTTTGGTTTGTAAAGCGGATTGCAATATATTTCAGATCTAAAACAATGAATGTTGTACGAAATGCTACCAGTGTGTATAAGGTGAACGCAAATGGAACGTACTCAGAATTGATGGCTTCCGGTCCGAAAAGTAATATCACTTGTCTGCCTGAGAGCTCGATGAACTATGATTATGAAGGTGCCATGAAATTTACCGTAGCGGTCGTTCTAGTTTATGGAGTAGGAATTATAGGTTTATTGGGAATTTACACCAAGAAAAAGAGAAGCGCAGAGGATAAAATCAAAGAAGGTGACAATTTCATAAGGACATTTGAAAGAAAACGGCATTTGATTGAACGTAAATCAAGAAAGTCAGAAATAGCGAAGTTAGTACACAGTGTCCAAGGTATCGAACCCAAGTCACCTACTTCTATCATAGGAAAATTGGCATTGAATCCTGTAATTAACATAGCTCTGCCACCTCGGGCCTCCATTAACTTCGATAAAATAAATTTGAAGAGACAAAGTATTGATACTGAAAATATCGAAAAAGCAGAAAATATCGAAATTGGTAAAATATGTCCACCTGAAAAGCGGGTAACTTTCGAATCAGACTCCGTCACATGTGACACGCGTCTATTAAGTCCAGTGACAACTAATACAAATGTGAAAAGCAACATAATTCCTAGCGAATATTCAATAGTGTGTGAGGATGGTAAACCAGTGAATGGAAGCCGAAGAAATGCTATTAGAAGTTATAAAAACATGAACAACAATGACCGCATTGCAACTATACACGGTTCTGATTCGAGTACACGTGATTATGCATGTGATCGTGTTAAACCAAATGAACATGATGTGCCTCGTGACAACAATGTGCTTGATTGTGTGCCCAACAATTTTGTAACAATGGTAACAGACAAGAAATTCATATCCATTCTTCAAAACGAAAGTTACGTATAGTATAAATATATAAAACATCATCATTAGTATCAACCATTACAACATGAATTAATAAAATCATGCACTGAAATAAAATGAAATAGTGTTTTACAATCTACTGAAAGGGCTTTCTAGTATAAAGGGAGATAAGTCTGTAAACACATATCTTACTTTTTCTAAGAAAAAAAACGAAGAGTAAACAAATCAATTTCAAATTCAATCGGTCTGTTGAATGTTTTCATGGAAAGCTTATCACCAGCTCATGGAGTTTACATTTCGCAGCTCATCCGCTATGCTAGGGCATGTTCTCTTTATGAGGACTTCCTAGATAGAGGTCGAGTATTAACTTGAAATTGCTGAAACAAAGTTAATTGACACACAAACTTTCATTTAGGAAATGTCATTTTGTCATTAAGCAGAACTCATTTATAAATACAATTAATCTGTTTCTGACATTTTGGCTGATTTGATTGGTCAGGCCTGAATTGATCTGGTTGTATCTCATGGTTTTTATCATTGTGCTTATGGCGGGTGTCGCGCGCGAAGCAGACAATGCTTAGTCTTTTTGAAACACCTGATGGTACTTCTTTTTGGAGGAGTCTACTATCACACAACTTTTACTCTCGATTTTACAATACTGTGGATGAGGTTTTGATTAACGGAATTGTCATGCTTGTACGGATTTTTTGTTAGTGAGGTTTGTGAGAGATAGGAATAAGTTTGAACAAATACAATCTCGAATGTTTGTCTTCAATACTCAGTCTTTTTAATTGTAAGAAAATGTGTCAGTGAAAAATATAGGCCAATAATTATCTTGTCACAATACCGTCTAATTACAAGTGACAGTCTAATCAGAAACCGTCATCATATTGATTCCTTTGTCTCTTTTCAAATACTACCAATTTCACCTTCAGTTGAATTGAAAGAAAACTATATCCACGTCAAAAGCAAACTGTATTAGATCTGGAATATAATGTGAATATTAATGATGGATACCCTTATTTTCATTTATGAAAATGAAAAATGCTAATACTTATATGAATAGAAAGTAGATGTGTTAGTATTATTTTTTTATCCAGACTGTACATACAAGACCGTTTGTGATTGGTTAAAACTCCTAATTATATTCAATAAGAACATGATATGATTAAGAATACATGATAATTCATTAGAAACACCAATTAATCAACTTGTTATCTTAATTTGACACTACAAAATAAGGAAACCCATCTTTAACATGAATTGATATTTTCAACCCAGGTTCCCCTTTCCATTGATGCATGTATGAAAAGATGACTAGGGAAAACATAGCTGGAAAGAGATAAAACTGCGATGGCCTTGATTAGATGAATTAAGAGCATTAATGTACGATATATCAATGTTTTATTTTAAAGTATGGTACCCATAGTCTACTCTGTTACCTTTCAAGGCTACGCAGCATCGCATTTAGGCTATCAGAGATAAACTTTCCCAGTCTCCACCCTTTCCTTCATATTACAATTGATAAAGCCCTAATTTCCAGCCTCGCTGTATATGACGCCAAATATCTAATGTAAGAATGCGATTCAGACAAATCTCAAGACGTTGTCTTTCTAAAGATGAGAAAGGATCAAACACACTAATCACTTTATCTTCAACTTACAGACTTGATTTAGCTCACATCAAAGATATATTACGTCAACTGGAATAATTCATTGAAATATCAGCGCAATCATCGGCCACTTCTAAATCCTGCCTGGTAATTAGCTCTGGTAGACGAATTGATAACCTTTTCATGACGCACTTGTCAGGAGAATTTTCAACTGACCGAAAACTTTCATCAAGATAATTATGATTAAATTAAACTTTCTTAATTATGAAGGTGCCCAAGATGTTGTGAGTTGAATATATAGAATTGGCATCGTTCATAGACAGGCAAGATCAATTGAAAGATACATAACTTTAGTTATGTGTTAATTCGCATTTTTAAACCTCGAGGTAACCGAAACAGAACACTGAGTTGTTTTTCACTAGTTTCAACTAGTTGTGACTAAGTGCAATAACTATTACAGCAGATTGATACATACCCCTCATTGACAATGGGATTCTGATAACTAATTAATTTGCTTGACAGAAGACCTCCACATCCCGTATCGGAACTTACTTCAGATATGAACAGAAAGACCATTCTTACAAGAGGTTTTATCAAGATATTTACGTCATGTGTTAATTGTTATTATATATTCACATACTATATGACAATGGTTTATTAATAATAAACATCCATTCGAATTTCTTATTTTAGAACCAATAAAACTGGTTCAGCAAGTACTTGTGAAAATTGTATTTATGTATACACCATAATATGTCTAATGTTAGAACCCATCTCTGGGTTATTAAGGATATTTTCTATATAATAAGATACCAAGTCGATGAATAAACCAAAGTTACCACAATGAATGATAAAAACTTGTGCATACATCCTTAATTGTATTCAGCAAGTCGTCATTTACCACTATATTGAACATTTTTTGATACACAAACGATACGATTTTCAAACGATTCATTAAACAAATAAGTAAAAGTAACTATATCATTATGTTTTGCAATGAGACGAAGTAAATATTGACCGAGTTTTCAGAGAATCTGAAGCTGACTCTTTAATCTTTATTCTTAATGTGATAAATTCTTGTCACTGTCAGTATACTCGAGTCAATATTTAAATTCGCCAGGCAGAGTTGAGTTTTGTTCTACAACCAACTCGATCAATTTAATATCGGTAACTACATGAAGTGCTTATATTATTGAGAAAGGCTGAAGGAAGTTTCGAATGGTATCGAATTCTATTTTAATTCCAACATATTAATTAATTTGAGTAAAATAGGGCTAAACTGGTTTACACACAAAATAAATTAGAGAAAAAGTTACTTGACAATTACTTACAGATATAATGTCATTGATGTTTTACATTGTATTTTCATTGTCATTGTATTTTTACATTATGTCATACCAAGAAATTTGACAAAACCGGGTTAACGAGTTTCTCACTTTCTAGCTAATTTAAAGTGCTAGTGAAGCAGGTCGGGGCAGCCAGTCTTCGAAAAGAGTCAAGATCAAATGTACCTAAAAAGCGTATAATGAACACAGCATCAAATTAAAATTGATCTAATCCTATGTGGCGGATGGTTTTTAAGAGAATTAAATTGTAACCAGCCCTAGTCTATATAAAGAAACGTCAAAGTAGAGAAAATATCTTGAAAGAAAAGACAATTTAATTGTCATAAATGACTGTCTACATTGATTATATTACAAGAGAATTTATTAAGAATAGTCTTATCCCGGAAATACTCCATCTTAACTTATTTCCATACTCAGACATCAAGCTATTACTCTTCAAGCCTCATGAATACGATATTAGACAAGAAATGAATGAAAGCATCAACGACATTGATCAACAGTCCGAAAATTCTCAGTTCTACATTAGAAATATATCATGTCAAAAAAGCCACTCTACCGTTTTTTTTTTGGATTGTCATTTATATAAGATTATATTACTGTGTAATGTTAGGATCACAATACAAGCTTTATCCGGTTTCCCCTGCAAGTGATGTTGGTTAGAGGTGCTGACGTGGAACAAACGTCGTTCGAAAGTAGAAAGTAGCAGAAAGTAGAATCAGACTAATAATGATACAACTGTTATCAGTATTATGAAGTTTTCAAAGAGAACTATAATTTGTCTGATATCTATTCTAGTATGTTTTTCTATTAACCACTCCGAATAGCTCTGGCTTGATATCCGATATAGTAGAATAATTTCCTTTTCATTTGACACAAACTCGGAAGCTTAATGATGCTTCATTTTATACTTTTAATTTCCCTTGTTCCAAAATAACTCGTGAATATGGACACTTTTATACAGGAATATGAATGGAAACTTGTGACAAACCTTCTGAAATCAAAAGGAATGTAAGTTAAACGCTAGTGTTGAAGTCATGTTTGTGTTTTAGCGAGTCATTTTGCACCTTTTATACCAGGAATCGGAAAATATCTTAATCTTATAATATTCCTGAGATATAAATTATCTTGACGAGTTGTAATACAACGTCCCTTGATGATCGAAGATGATTCAAACTGTTGCAATGTTACATGAGAGTGCAATTTATTATTATATACCGATTCGAAAGTAAAACCCTAATTGACTAATGTTATCGTTTAAAGGTAGGTTTACATAGACAGCCTTTTTCTTTTGACCTTGAAAGTAAAACATGTTCTGCAAATTTCAACCCCCACCCTATTCATCCAAATTCGAAAATTCAAAATTTTGTTGAGGTCGCCACTCACCATGTGGTTCTAGCAAATGAGGGTGGTTTGGTGTGAGTTTTTCTTTATGGATAAATATGGTTGATGATAAGGAAATGAGCCTGCATGGTATGGGGGAAAGTGATGATATCCTTGCCTTCATTTTTTCGGTTTCTCCTGTCATCTCAACAAGATAACTTACAGCATCTATAACCGTTGAGGTCATTTGATACAGTGATTTCTCCAAAATTGACACTATATCCCACCATAATATCTAACACCCCATTTAATCAGATTTTGATAAAAAAAAGTTTTCTGTGTAAACCTGCCTTTACGGTTTACTGCTAAGTAATGCTATTGATGTTTGTCGTTTTAAAATCCATTTTGATAGAAGCTTTTATTATTAAATTTCATTATTGGAAACAAATCACAGATTACTCAATTCATTGGATTTATTTACCATTTTCAATTCAAATAGCCAGCTCATTTTCATTTATCAAGGGTCTGTTTATCAAGGGTCTGTAAATATATACCTTTCAGCTCAATACCAGTTATCAGTATCACTTTGCAAATGATAAAAATCTGACGTTCAGTTCGTCTGCGTCTCGAGATCGTGGAAATTTCAAGTTTTCAATAACCTGATCCTCTCTTATACCAATTCAATGTTTGACACGCATCAATACGGTGTAACAATGAAAGTCTACTGTAAATAGTGTTGAATAGATTCATTTAACTAAAGAGTA